TCCCTCCTTCCTCCGTCCTCCCCTCCCTCCTCCCTCCCTCCCCTCCCCACGCTCCCCTCCCTCCCCATCCCTCCCTCCTCCGTCCTCCCCTCCACAATTACTCAATATGAATACTACTCTCCCTCTCCCCCCGATGGCGGCCTGAAAGTAGCCGACCCCCCCCCCGCGTACTGTTTTTTTACACACAGGATTCCCGGGAGTTGGGTTTTCGCCTGCGTTTTTTTTCAAAATGCTGCTCTCGCTGAGGCGCTGGCCTCATTTCTGCTCCCGAATCGTTCCGAATCGTGCTCCCGCTGCAGCGTGGGCCTCATTTTCGGATCGTTGTTTGGCCTCCGTCGTTCAGGATGGCGTTCTCGCCCCAGCGCGGGCCTCTTTCTCGCGCGCCCATCCGCCCGCCACCACCGCGCCGCACCACCACCACCACCACCACCACCACCACCACCACCACCACCACCACCACAACCACCACCAGCACCACCGCCACCACCACCAGCACCACCAGCAGCAGCACCACCACCACCACCACCACCACCACCACCACCACCACCACAACCACGCACACATGCACGCACGCACGCGCACCACCACCCACTACGCACGCGCGCGCGGAGCCACAGGTCCGCTACGACACGCGTCCGCGGTTAGAGAAAATCAGCGCCATGGTAAGGGGTGGGAGGGAGGGGTAGGACGTCAGATATGACGCGAGCGCACCTAGCTTGCCTCCCTCCCCTCCCTCCCTCCCCTCCCTCCCTCCCCTCCATCCCTCCCCTCCCTCCCTCCCCTTACCTCTGCTCCTTCACAATTGCTCAATATGAAAATACTCTCCCTCTTCCCCTGATGGCGGTTGGGTGATCGCCGAACACCCTCCGCGTATTGTTTTTTTACACAGGATTCCCGGGAAACGGGTTTTCGCCTGCGTTTTTTTCCAAAATGCTGCTCTCGCTGAGGCGCCGGCCTCATTTTTGCTCCCGAATCGTTCCGAATCGTGCTCCCGCTGCAGCGTGGGCCTCATTTTCGGATCGGTGTTTGGCCTCCGTCGTTCAGGATGGCGTTCTCGCCCCAGCTCGGGCCTTTTTCTCGCGCGCCCATCCGCCCGCCACCACCGCGCCGCACCGCCACCACCACCACCACCACCACCACCACCACCACCACCACCACCACCCCACCACCACCACCACCACCACCACCACCACCACCACCACCACCACAACCACCACCAGCAACAGCACCAGTACCAACACCACCACCACCACCATCACCACACATGCACTCACGCACGCACCGCGCCCCACCACAACCCACCACGCCACGCGCGCGCGCTGCCACAGTCCGCTACGAACACAGCGTCCGCGGATAGAGAAAATCAGCGCCATGGTAAGGGATGGGAGGGAGGGGTAGGACGTCAGATATGACGCGCGCGCACCTAGCTTGCCTTCCTCCCCTCCCTCCCTCCCCCCTCTCCCTCCTGGTCCTCGATCCTCCCATTCGCCGTAGCCACTCTGGCTCAAGTTTCTGAGGTTTTCGCCGAACCAGGCGAATGCCGCTATTCCTCGGCCAGCTCCCGTCCTTCGGCCAGTTCTCCCTGACCTGAGCTGCTCCCTGGTCTGCCCCAAGCTCCCGCATCCTGCTCCCTGCCACTTCCGCGGGCGTGCTGACGCCCTTTCCTCTCGCGTGGGCGGCAACCGTGGCCACAAGGGAGACACGGGTGGCGCCTGCGGCAGAGGCAAGGACAAGCCTGGCCAGCACATCTCGTGCCAGAGCTGCAGGCACAGGTGGGATGTCACGAGCAGCCACTGGTACCACTGGTGCTACCGTTGCCGTGCCCCGCTGGTGCCCAATCCCGCGATTGAGAAGTTCCCAGCTGACCAGTGCAACTTCGGCCCGCCGCCGTTGGCGCTCTCAGTCAGCCCCTGCGCCGCCGCAGCTGCTGCTGCTGCTGCTGCTGCTGCTGCTGCTGCTGCAGCTGTCAAGTACGACGCCGACGGCACGACCGCGGGCAAGGGCACCAAGGGCCATAAGGGGCCGCCGCTCCATCCTCGCGGTGCCGAAGGCGATGCCCCAATTCGGCGCCCGTGGGTCTGCCATGGCCCTGGTTGGCACCCTCACGGCGGTGGTCCTGTGGGCCAGCCTCGGCTTGCTGCTCCCACGGCCGACCCCTCGGCGGCGCGCCAGGCTGAGCTCGGAGACTGCCAAGAGCTAGAGGCGCTCGAGGCGAAGGCCGTGGCCCAGAACGCGGCGGCCACGTTCGCGCAGCTTCGGCGGCCGCTTCTCTCGGCAGGAGGAGGCGGCGGCCAAGGGCGTCGCCTGCCGTCGTGCGCAGGCCTGGCTGGACACCTGCGCCGCCCGCGTCCTCCAGGGCGACCAAGGTCTTCGGCAAGCTGAAGGGGGCCGAGGACACCGCGGTCAATGCTGCGCACCTGGCCCAACTGGAGTGGAAAGCGGCCTGCGCCAAGCAGCTGTCGCCGCCGCCACTCGAGAAGGACGCGGCACCCGCTTCTTCGGTTAAGTCGGGCCTGTCCCTCGACAGGAGGAATATTCAAACATAGGCCAAACATAGCATGGGACGATGTGTTAATTATGTTTGACTATTTTTGCATATTGTTTGAGTATGTTTGATTTTTCGTCCCACATCCGCCTGTAGGGGGACACGCCCGACCTAATTCTTCGGCCATCAACCTCTCGACCCTCGTTTGCGAGTGGGCGCTCTAGATCATCGACAGGCCGCTCGTTGACATCAATGGGCTCGAGCTGGAGTGCAACGACAAGGCCGAGTGGACCCGCCTCAGAAAGCAGCTCGCCATCAGCATCCAGAATGAGGTGCTGAAGGCCTTGGGGCCAACTGGCGAGCAGATCCTCGAGCTGCGAGAGGAGGCCTGGAAGCAGCACACTCGCCTCCGGGCCAGGCGGCGCAGAGGTCCCACCGGTGAGGCTACCGCACCATCCATGGGCTCGGCCGCGCCTCGCTGCAGTCATCGCTTGCGCGTTTGGCATAGGTACTCGCTCTGTATCTGCTCTTGCTGCGGTCGCTCAGCCACAGTTGCCCCGAGGCAGTCAATTGAAGAGTGCACCCCCTTCGCGCCGAAGGGTCGTGGAAACCTCCAGCGCATAAGGCTGGTCGGTCCCTTTCCTGGCCACAGTGGTCCAGCCGCCCCCGTCTTGGAGGCCGCCGCCAGCCGATTGCGGCGCGAGCAGGCGCGACGCATGATGCCTGGCGCTTTGCACGCTGCGCAGTGTCCTCTGCCGCGGAGACCTGTGGCGCCAAATTCCAGGACACTCCTTCCCTTCATTTTCCCTGGCATGCTGTCGGGCGCCAGTGCCCGCCTGCACGCTGCAGGCGATGGAAGGCCGGCCGCTGCGTGGTCGAAGCCCGCGCAGGAACTCGGTGGCACGATGCAGTGGGTGACATCTCGGCGAATTCCTCCTTCGACTCTAGTGTTGAGTGTGTTGAAGGCCTCGAGGTGTCGCGTTTCATGCCTCGCCTGGTCATGAAGCATGCGCGCCTTTCTTGCTCTCGGCCTTCTCGACTCCTGATCCTGAGCCGGCCGCGCTTGCTGAGTTTTCAGCATGCCCCGGGGTGGTGGCGGTCGTGATTTGGTCGTCCCTCCAATGATGGCCCCTGAGCCTCCCCAACCACCCACCCAGAGGGATGCAAGGAAGGGCAGCTGGTCGAGGCCTGCGCGGCAGCAAGGGATGGGGCGCGCCCCTGCGCGAGCGGCGGCTCGCGGGCGCGGTCGACGTGTCACAGGCCAGTCCAGGAGCTGGAAGGCACAAAAGAGGCGCACATGCTGACAATACCAATGCACGCATCAAGGCGCAATGGACATAGGATCTGGCGCGCCGAGCGACTTCTAGCGCCGCGCGGCCAAGATGTCGCCGCCGTCAGGGCACCACGTCGTCTCAGACGACAGATGTAGTGAAAAAGCATCGTAGAGTATTGCCACCGGTGAGCCTCGAGGCAACGTTGTTCTAGCTTGTCGTGCCGATTCCTTGTTGGAGGCTAGTGCTGAAGCGGACACTTGCCTGCAACAACCGCTCAGTATTGTGCCCCTGCCAGGGCCAATGCCGATCCGATCGAAACGATTCGATAACAATTCTGGAGGGGTCGATCCGATTCCATCCCGACATTCCGGCCCACTGTGCCCCGACATGTGTGCGGCTTGTGCATCCTGACGCGGCCGACCCGATCGGGTTTCGATTCCGTGTCGATTCAGCCCGATCCGACGCGGACTCCGCTTCGACCCGAGATAGATCGAGCTAGAACATATTGGGACGAGACTTTGCATCCAATACGTGAAATTAACATGCATCGCAGTTTGAGAGTGACTCCGCGCGCCGTTCGGTGTCCTAGCTGTTCCGAGGTCTGGGCATCGCGTCGCGCGCGGGCTGGCGTTTCTGACGCGGCACATTTTGTTGATAAGTGCGCCCGTTGTGTGCGCGCCAATTTTTTGTTGGTCACTGCGTTTGGCTTCGGATCACGATGGCGCCCGGGACCGTCGGCCTTGAAAATGACGGCGCCGATTGTATTCTTGTCATTCGATCTGATCAGGGAATCCCGCAGATCATTATGCCTCGTGTGTTGGTTGGCTCACGTGGCCTCTTGCGTCCTTCGGTGGGTGATCATACGCGTGTTCAATGCGCGGGGTTTGGTCGCCCCCTTCGTGCGGAAGGCAATCGATTGCGGCATGAGCGAACGTATCGTTGTGCCACTTGTTGAGCTGTCGCGTCGGACACACGCGTTGGCCAGGCGTCGTTTTCGACTGGGCGCGTCCGCGCCTCTTGCGCCGCGCAGGCCTGAAAGCGGCATCGAAAGATGTGGTCGGCTTGTTTGTGTCGAGTCCGCGTCAGCCTTGTTTGCTTTGCGCGCGGCCAAAATCTGGGCGTCATGCTGTCTTTCCCCGCGGGATGGGAGAACGCCAGGCGCTGCTTTGCCAGTGCGCGGTTTGTAGGCCGTTGGATCACGAGGGCTTTGCCCAGGATGGAGTTCGCGTGTTGGCGATGACGTGAGCAAGGCAAACATATCGTTCCTCCTCGGCCTCGTTTCCTCCTTTCTCGCCCATCCCTTGATCTCTTTGTGCTGCTATCTCCTGTGTTGGTCCTCATGTCCTCCTTTGTTCTGCCTGCCCCTTCCCTCTCCCCTGCTCGTTCCCCGCCCCCGAGCCGTTCCCAAAACTTGACGGTCTCATATCTCCGCTAGCCCATCCAGACACAGAGCTCACGCGAGGTGTGTCAGAAGCCTCGCGGAGGATTCTTGGAGTCATTTTTTAGGGGGGGGGGGGGCGGAGGGGAGGAGGAGGAGGAGGAGGAGGAGGAGGAGGAGGTGGAGGAAGAGGAGGATGAGGAGGATGAGGAGGAGGAGGAGGAAGACGAAGGAAACACAGAAGGAGTACGAGGGTGAGGGGCAGGAAAACAAAGTTGATGAGGCGGAGGAGGAGGAGGAGGAACGGACCTACGAATATGATCAGAGGGGCGCTTTCGCATACCTTTTGCTGGTTGAGCCTCGTGGGGTGGCATTGAGGCCAGTGCTGGCCCTTCTTGGGCGCAACTTGGCCTCCTTTGGGGGTCCATTTGGACGTTTTCAGGTTGTTTGTCGGCGGGGTGTCGGGGCCCTCTTGGGGCGACCTTGGATCTGGGTCCCAAGGCGCAGAGCGGCAGGGTCCTTAATTCGCACCCCCCCCCCCCCCCAGCCCTTCGGAGGCCGATCAGTCACATTGGTGTGGCCATCGTGGGGCGTTTTTGGGTGCCTCTTGGCCTTCGGCTGCCGATGGTTCCTCCCTAGCGGCCTCCTGGGGCTTTGTTGGGCCATCTTGGGGCCATGCTGAAGCTTCAAATAACTGTCGGAGCCGACCCAACGATAATGCAATAACAGTTTATTCCTCATCGGCTGTGAGAAGGTTTGGGCATGTCGTCAGCATCCTTAGGAGGCCCCGTGGCCACTCGGGGTTGCCTTGGGGGGGGGGGGGGCGTGGAAGCATCGTGGAGGCCAACTTGGGCCATTGCGAAATCGGGCCATCTCGGCGGCCATCTTAGGCTTAAGTCGGGCCTGTCCCTATAGAGGAGGAACACTCAAACATGGTATACAACATAGTCTGGGGCCGATTTGTTTGAATATTGTTTGGGGCATGTTTGGAATATGTTTAATGTTTCGTCCAAAATACCCCTGTAGGGGGACAGGCCCGACCTAATCTTAGGCCCTCTGAGGCCCATGCAGCCATCCTGGCTCAACATGTCCCAAGGATGCCGCCGCGATACCAAAGTCTCGAACAAAACATGGTCGTTGAATGAGTTTGTCTCTAAGCGAAGGGGGGGAGCCTTCACAGCGTCGCCCATCCAGAGCCTGCAACGACACCACTTGAGGCACTCTGTCGCGTTTTTGGGGCGCTCGTGGGTGTTATTTTGGCCGTCTTGGAGCGTTCCTGGGGCCCTCTTGGGATTATGTTGGGGCATATTGAAACCATCTTGGTAAGTGACGGCTGAACATGTGTTCTGGCGGCGGCGACGTGGCCGCGCTTCGGGCCTGCCGCATGCGCCCAAACCTGGGATAGCTTTTGGCAGTACTAAATCCGCGCCCCCGTGACTGTTGCACGTCGAATGCGTATAAAGGCGAAGAAAATCTCGGGATGTAGATCTCGGGATGTAAACTCGCGATGGGTGGGGCTCGAGGGTGCCTCCGTCCTACTTCATTTTGCTACGTCCGAATGCCTTGAACATGTTAGCGAGGTCATGGGGCAGTCTTGAGGCCGTTTGGAAGCATGTTGGAGGTTAGTCATCCTGAGTTATCGTGAGCAGCCTTTGATGCCATATTTGACGTTCTTGTGTAATTTGAATTCCATCTTGGGCCACCATGGACGTTCTGACCGCTTGGGCCCACCCTCGTCCAGACCCATGGGGAAGGAGTAGCGGGAGGGTTAAACCCTTTCTGGAAAGGAAATCATTGGGGGGGAGATCAAGCACTCTACCACTTCGCAGCTTCGCTCCGTGCACATATTAGGCAGGAGCACGCGCGCGGTTGTGCTCAACTTGTCTCTGCTCCGTTTGTTCGGCCACGCTTTGATACCCAGCGTGCCCGAGCTAGGCGTGGCCATCTGAAACCTCGATGCAGCTTAGACTGCCGCCGGGTTTCGATTTGTACTTCCGGGCATCCGGGGCTCTGTCTTGTTTCGCCAGACATGTCAGGAGAGAGGGTGGTGAGCCGGATGAGAAGGGCTCAAACCAGGACGGGGATGAGGAGGGCGAGGGGGGGGGGACGGGAGAGGGGAGGGGGGATGAGGGAGGGAGGATGGGCAGTAGGTGGTGGTCGCAGTGTTTTGGGCGGGGTCGGGATGATGACGATGGTGGCAGCGGTTGGGGGGATGGTGTCGGTGGGTTGCGGTGGCGATGGCGGTGGGCGTGGCGGCGGTGATAGGCGTTGGGGAGGCGATGGTGGCGAGGGTGAGGGTGGGGGCTTCGTCGCTGGACCGTCGTCATGGTAGTGGGAGCGGGGGTGTCGGTGGCGGCGCTGGCGGTGGGAGTGTTGGTGGTGGTTGATGGCGATGGCGGTGGCGGTGGTGAAAGTGGCGGTAGCGGTGAGAGTGGGGAAGGTTGCGGTGGCGGTAGGGGCGGCGGGGGCGGAGGTGGCGATGGTGATGTCGTTGTCGGGGGGCGTCGGTGGAAGCTGGAGATTGGCGGTGGCGGCGGTGGACGTTGAAGTGGCGGCGGAGGCCGTCGCCGACGGGGCGCAGCCCCACTGAGCGCTCGCAGGCGCCCGTGAGCAGTCGCAAACGCCCGCGCGCGGCGCGTTCGACGCCGAGCGGAGCTCGCTGCAGGTGCATGCGGGCGCCTACGCGCGCTCGCATCCGCCATCGCGGGGCTCGGGCGCGCGCTGGGGCCCGCGGGTGTTGGCCGACACCCGCTACGTCGCACTATC